AAGTTTACCTTTGACCAAACGCCCCCCAAAGGAATCCCAGTGCCCCCCTTTTGTAAAAATTTCCGCGAGCGTCCTCTGAACGTCCCCCTGGGGGGCAGTACCGCCCACGTTGAGAACCGCTAGTCTAATCAAACCTTAAAGTTATATTTGAAATTCCACTCAACACATACTAAATAAAAACATTTCCAACTGACTCAGTCACTACATTTAAATCCAACCCACCTCCTGGCAGCAGAAGGTTGGTCTGCTATAGATTCATCAATAAAATCGTTCATCCTGTCGCTCCAGGCTGTTGCAGTGCTGTAACCAGATTCTGAATCATATTTTGGTTTTGGTGTCGATTTAGATTCTGGTTGTTCCCTATGAATAAAGATAGTTTAGTGATTTTAGTGTTGAGCTCTGACAACACTAACATCCTGGACAGTTAGAGATGTTGATCTGACCTCTGGTTGCTGTAGTTCATATTAGTTAAATGGACTGCAGGCTTTTTCCTCGACCCCCACTCCATGCTGCTCAGTTCACAACAGCTGGCACACAGGTACTATCTTCATCTGAGGAAGAAACATTCATTATCATTTAAATGTTTATTATAATCAATATGAGCATTGGCACTGTGTTAATATCAGCTGATGCTCTGATTGGTTCTTCTCTGCTTCATATTAGTTAAATATTGTCAGAGGCAAAAAAAAAAAAAACTGCTGCAGCTGCACCTCTTCTAATAGTCCACTAGATAGAGCATTTCAGCTAATCTTAAGATCAACCTCAGAAATTAAAAAACAAAATTTAAAAAGCATATATCATAAATTTTGTTCAATAAACGGATTTAACCTTAACCTGTTTAAAAATGTTTCTAAAGCATTTTTAAGATTGTTTAACATTGATTCAAATGAAATCCATAATGGTGTCTGAATACATAAATATATATATTCACAGAATTACAATTTACCAAACTACTTGATGATTCTGATGGCATTTGACTAAATGTAATAATTATTGCTTGTTTCATAACTGATGACTAAATTATATTTTTATTATGTGAAGAACTTTGAACTGCCTTGTTGCTTCCTTATACAGATAAACTGGATTTGACTTAAAATTAATTTATATTTAAAGTATTTGTGAATAAACAGAGTAGTGGAGTTTTTATGCAATTTCTACAGAACAAATATTTACAAAAAACCAAGTGTACATTAAAGAACAGTACATCAAAAACAAAACACAAATATATATTTAAAGGTTAAACTTTATGAGGTAATCAAAGATAATTTTAACAAGATAAAAGGGAGATAAATTGTCTTGGAACACTAATAAAAATAGTACCAAGTAAATGCAGATAGGAAAAAATTTGTACGAAGTAAAAACATGTCATCTGTTTGTGGGATTCATTTAGAAAGTTAAGTTTTGATAGAAAATTAGTTATTGTTAGAAAAATAAATTAGGAAAATAAATTTAAAATTAGAAAAATAAATTAGGAAAATAAATTAAAAATATGCTAGTTTTTAAATTTAACTATATATAGTTGGGGACATAAGTTTGATTATATTAATTTTAGCAACATTTGACCTTGGTGCATGTGAAATATTAGATAGAGCATGAATATTTTGAGTAAATTTTAATTTAGGTAGATTTGGATAATGATTCAATTTAAATAACGACTGATTTTCCTGACATAAAATCACTAACAGGGTTTTGAAAAGGGCCTTCAGTAGATTATGTTTCTCCTATCAGAAGAACTGCTGTGCTAGGCAGTTCATAAAAACAAAAGTAATGGGGAAAAACAGGATGGGAGAGATAACTCTGTATGTTTACTACTAGGTCAAATTCTTTGGTGTTTTCTATGAGGTAAGAAAAACACTAAAATCTTGAGAAAACAAAACTAGTATTTGGGATATTATGGAATCGCTCAGGCAGGAAAACGAGCAAGGTCTAGGTGAAAAATACATCTTTTTCTGGCAACTAGGGTCTTTGTTCAAATGTATAGAAAAGGAGGAACTGGGAGAAGACTCCAGATATAACTGGCATGACAACATCCTGTTTTGAGAGTGAGCTTTGCTCTCTCTTTCTCTTTGGTTTTGAATAGGTCTCCCATCCTATCCAAGTAATTTGAAACTGCTTAGAGGTTTAGAAAGAGAGGACACACCTTCAATGCATATGCTAAAATTAGGAATACACCACTTAACAAAAGTCTCCACTTCATAGCAGCAAGCCAAGTTGCTTCGTTTTGCGGCCGCACGAGCAGTTCCCAAAGGCACCTTTGTTTTTCTCTCATTTTTGTATTTTGTTCATTTTTCTACTTTTCTCAGGTAATTAATGTCTGTTTTATGGTTTGGACTTCTTGATGGTTTGGGTGTGATGCTGATCTGTTTTTCTATGCATTTAATTGTCTGAGTAAAACTCTAGATATGTCTGAAGTTGAATGGTGACTGGTTGTTTTCTGAGTGTTTGTCCACTGTGTACATGCGGAACCCTGGATTTGGGAGACTAGAGGAAAAATAACGAGCAAAGACGTTTAACATTTTATTCCTCTAATTCAACATTATATTACATTTGGAGTCTGCAAATTGTGAATAAAAATGTAAAACTTGAAGTTGAACATGTGTTCCAGTTCACAATTTTATTTAATGAATATGATTGAGTTTAATGAGTAAAATAATTTTAGTGGCACAGAAAAACAGACCCAGTCACTCCATACTTTCTGGATATGTCACAACTAAATAATAAGTGTGAAATAATTTCTATTTTGTTTTGTTTTTTTGTACAATACGTAAAAAGTAGAACCTCTAACAACCAGGCCTTCCACCAGTAACTCTGGATACAACACTTGCATTTCTCTCAAAGAACTGGTGCTTGTTATGTTTCTGTTTGTTTTATTCCCCGCAGTGTGAGCATGGGTAGTTTTTTTTTTTTTTTACAAGTTGAATTAACTCTGTGAATAGCCTGAATGATATTGGTAAATTATTTGGAACAAACAGGAAAACTAAAAAAACCTCATAATTTAACATACTGCCAGTACTCTAGAAAGGATAAATGACGTGGTTACGTCTCTTTCAACCCAATTATTGAAGAAATTACTTTTTAATCTAAACATCACAGTTATTCCATAGAAGATATAATGTGAGGTAAAAAACTGCGGGTAGAAGCTAGCTTCCAAGGTTAAAGGCTTTCTGATTAAATCTGGACGACTGATTGCACTATCCGTGTTGTATAACATTTGTAAAGTATGCCGTGTCGTAATTGGTTCTACATAGTTCAAGTAGTACTTTGAAAAAAAGCTCTGAAGTGAAAACTTTAACAAAACTACTGTTTATATATAAGTGGGCCAATGAATTCACTGATTTTATTTTCAGAGATCGTTAAAATGATCTGCAGTCATATTTTTAATATGAGATTCAGAAAATAAATCAGCTGCTTTTGTTTTTTCAGGTCGGCCCTGATGTTACCTTTTGCGTTCGTTCTTATGTTCCGACCTGAACTGGTACCGTTTTGTTTTCCAAAAAAATTAAACTGGGTCAAAATATATCTGCTGAAATAGGGTGCCAAATACTGATTTAATAGGCAAACGAGAAAAACCCGAATACTTTACCTTCAAATGAAGCTCACTTGGTAAAAACTTATCTGCGTCACAACCAGGGAGAAGCGAAAGTTGAACAGGATCAGTAAACTCTCAAGTGTTCTGTTTATCTGTGACCCATAAATCCGCCCTACCTGGCCGTAATGCGCATGCGCACATCGATGCTACTTCACATATGTGATGTTATAAATACATCCTACCTGTGGAAGTTTCGTATCGTGTTTTATTTCGTCGAACGTCACGGTAAGCTTTATTTAATTTATTTTACACCTGGCTTTCATTAAGCTGCTGTTTAACCTCATGTTTTTAGTTTACATGACAGGGAGCTTGCAAACATATTTATAAATGACTTTAGTTTGCTGTCTGATCAAACTATCACCACTATAAACAAGTCATTGTTTGGCCGTTAATCAGGACAAAATACGTTGCTTTGTGGGCTATTTTGTCCCTGTACTTTAAAATAGTTTAATTACACTCTTTTGTTTTAATTAAACCTTGCTAAATAGATGTTGGTAGATACATGTGGGATTGAAGCTGTAATAGGGATGTAATATTAGTGTATATTAAGCATATTATATCATTTCAGGTGCACAGTGACCTGCGCAGTTCGGTGGACACGTGCTCTGCATTTGATAAAGTCTGACATACATGCTCAAAAGAGTTGCGGTGATCTGTACTTCTAGATGTCTGTGTTTAATTTAGTTGTGATACCATCCATGGAATCACATATTCTCTTACTAAATGAGTAGTCATACAATAAGTGCTGATATGTTGGATTGAGTACATAGATAATTTTCTTAATCCTTAGTTTTCTTAATCCAGAGCAAAATGTGCATTTTCACAGGAATATGCTTTGGCAGTTATCCACCTGTATTAATTTAATATTTAAATCAAATTTCTATAATGTAAAGACTGGCTGTAAAAAGTCACCAACTGCTAACCAATACCAAAGCCATATTTCAGGATTCAGTTGTAACCTCAGCCGTTTGCTCATATCAGGCTTTTTGCTAAACTATGAACACTTCATAATTTTTCCATACTTCAGTTCTCCTAATTATTTATTCGGCTGATAATTAAAAAGATCTATAGACTAACAGCAACATATATTTGTAATCAATTGTAAAGCTAGTTTATGGAAACATTTCATTCTATAATTGTGTTTAAAATGAATCATTTACCTGGAGCTGAGATAAGAGAAAGCTGTTTTGTTCAAACTGAATGAGTCAGCCAGATGACATTCATAATAAAAGCTGATAAACAAGATGTCGCTTCCTGGAAGGGTTGGACTTCCAGTCAGTCCTGTCCAGTAAGAGAATATATAAATACTATCTATCTGAAACACCTTCCTCTGAGTTCCTGATTTTTTTCCTCAACACAACCTGCAGAACCTGTTCCAGCAATGGGGGAATCTTACATTTTAAGTATAGACTTTGGAACAACATACAGTGGATATGCCTTCAGATTGACATTCATAGAAGAAGAAGTAGACCCCCATGTGAAGTTTTGGGGTGAACAAGTTGGACTAGAAACCCCCAAAGACTCCAACCTGCATCTTGTTTGATGAACATCAACAGTTTGTCAGCTTTGGATATGAAGCCAGACAGACTTATTTAAAGAACTCAGGCAAAGAATCCAGAGCAAAGTTCTTTTTTGATCGTTTTAAGATGTTGCTCTATGGCAAAGTGAATAAAAATATTTCAGAAAATATATATTTGAAAGTTCTAAACTAAGATAAACTACAACACAATTTTGACAGTCTATGGGTTATTACATTTATTCATATTTGTTTTGGATTTTTGTAATATTACAGTTTTCTGATGTAGTTTTTTTCAATTTAAATTTCCATTATCGTTGCTAATCAGCGTAGCTCCCCAATTTAGACATAGTGTGCAGGCTCTGAAGTTAAGCAATGATTAATTTGCCTGTTGATATCTTATCTGCTTTATCCGCTTGTTTCTGAGATGTTGGGTAATCTCACTTTGGTTCCACCATTAAACCTTTTTACAATCCTGAGTTTGCCTGTATTTGGCCCTGTTACTCACAGTTTGTGAAGAAATGAATGGACATTTGAACTTATAGCTCATGAAAAGATGGAAACAAACAAGGAGCGTTTTTGACTGCAGATAAATTGGAAGAATTTACTTAAGTTGAAACTTTGATATGAATTAAAGTGAATGCAATTGTCAAAGATTTCCAGAAAGTCACTACAGATCTGACAATAAAAGCAGCCAATGGAAGGGAAATGAAGACTGGTCATTTTTACAGAAGCTTTAAGATTCCTGAAAGAAGATGCTCTGCAGACAATCTAAACAACAAAGAAAGGGAGTTCACAACCTCTGACTTCAGGGAGGTCATTCAGCCAAACAGTTCATGAGAGAAGCTGCAATCTAGGTAAAACCCACAGACTGTTAGATTCCACAGTCATAACGTGTCTTTGTTGTTGCAAAACATACTTATTTTTTTTAATTGCTTGCAGGCAGGAATTGTGACAGAGGGAACTGAAAATATTCTGGTGTTTGCTCAGGAACCAGAAGCAGCTTCAGTTTACTCTAAGAAACTACCATCTGAAGGTTTCAAAGCACAGAATTAGGTTGAAAACAATCTGGACCAGTCTCCAGGAACTCAGTACATCGTTTTTGATTGTGGGTGTATAACATTTTCAATGGTGGCCGTTTTAAACAAATATGAGAATTTTATTAGAATTTTATTAGAATTGAAGTGATAGTGTAATTATTTGCAATAATTTATATTTGCAAGCATCTGTTCTGGAAAAAAGTGACAACATTTTCAGTAGTTAAAATAAACGTAACTTCTTTTGGTAGTTCTTTGGGTCACACTTTTTGGGAAACATTTTGCTTCCATCAAAATAGTTAGCATTTGTTTTGACCATGAAACCAAAATATTCTGCTCATCTTCAACTTCTAGTAGGCTTGGTCCAATAGCAATCTCTCATGAATTATGGGAATTTAATTAATAGTTGGTGTATGAGTACTTTAAAAAAAATTAACAGACTTCTGAATTTACTTTTAGAAGTTGTACGTACCTTTTCCTTTCTGTGTGATCCTTTCATACCCTGTTTGGAGGACACAATGCCATAGAAAAATAATGGTTCAGCATAAACCTTGAACACATTTAGTACTTGCACTTTTTTAAAGGTTTTATTGGCTCTAGTGACCTTTATTTGATAGTTAACTGACAGGAAAGTGGATGATGAGAGATGGGGAAGACATGCAGCAAAGATCACCAGGCCGGGAAATGAGCCTGTGACAGCCACGTTGAGGACTAAGGCCTCCTTATGTGGGTCGTGCTTAACCCCTGCGCCACCACAGTCCTGTTAACTGAATAAGGGAGGGCCACTAGAGCCATTACTTCCACTTTTACACTCCATAAACTAAAGATTTTTAGAACACAGCTGGAGAAACAATGATATCTCTGTCTTATAATTCTAGATCTCAGAGGTGCCAACATCAAGAAATTATGTAGTTAACCCCTCTGAGCTTTTGATCCTTAAAACAGTCTGCAGCCAAGTTTCAGATTAAACAATCAGATATTATTAGGGTTTATTAAGTAAAATAGCAGCAAATTTGCTCATTTCATAAAATAAATTATTACCATCGACCTTCTCTCCTGTGATCTGTTTAAAAACTAGTCTCAGATCAACACAGCCTCTCCAGGAATGTCAGCAGCAGAAAAGCCAAAACAACAACTTTATACCTATCAGGAAAACATAGACTACATTTGCTTTGCATTGTGCAAAAATTATATATGAGTCGATTAAATATTAGATTCTTGCTTAATATGGGGTTGTTGCTGTATTGTAATATAGTGTTTTAAGATCTTGTTCAATATGCCCCTTTTTAACTTTGAGCTGCTATCCCTTCAAAGGTCTTGGCTCTGCCCTGGTGAAATTTACTGAAACATTGTTGATTTGGTTCCCAACACAAACCACTGAGATTCTTATGGAATGACATACAAAATATATTTCCAGTCTAAATCAGAATTTATTATAGGTACTTTATGTGTGTTCATCTTTATTTGACAGAGAGTACGGGGTATCACCATGTTTTGGATAAGATGGTTATACAGCAAACTAAAATATTGAGTCTTCAAGTCACCTGAGGAAAACATTCAGCTACAAAATTAGAAAAGCATAAAAAAATGGCAGTAAATGTATCATAAAAGCGATATACAAAATGAAAACATTTGTAAAAGTTTTCATGTACAGCAGAAAATGAAAAGGAATGTTACATAATTGCAATAACTGACAGTCTATTTAAAACCTCAAGCTTGATAAAAAATATGCCAAAGCTATTTTATACTTCAGTACATTTTTAAATATACTTCAGTGAAGCTGACAACTAATCTAGCATTTTATACAAATTAAAAAATAGCAAATATCTTCTACAATTTCAAGCAATTAATCTGTACAACATCCTCAGTCACTTTGAAAATTCAACGCTTTCTCACTTTAGAAATGTTCGCTCGGTCCTTTTGATACTCAGTGATACTGTGAGGTAGAAGGTCCCATTTGTCGTACGTGGTGGGAGGACTGCACCAATCAGGTTCAAGAGGAGGATCATTCAGAGCCATCAGGCGGCCCAACCAGAAGCACTCATATCTCAAATAATCCACCACATGCTGAAGGGTTTGACATTGGTGTAGTGGTGTGGGGTTCTATGGTGAAGAGGTACAAAAAAACTACATAAACAATAATCACATTATTCCAAATTAACATTACATTTACCAAGAATTACAAGTTGTAGGGGTCCTATTGTATGTTATCCTGAGAATAATTTTAGTCAAACAAACCTTTAAATCCTGTTTCTCACTGTAGATTGCAAGTTGCAGATTCTGAATAGTCAGCTGTCTGTACTCCTTAACCTGGAACAAATGTAATATTTAATTAGTAACAACACAAATGACTTAGATTCAATATTAAAATCTTTGATCCAGTACCTTTGAATTTGCTGTATCACTTTTTGCCATATTCAGTTCAAATACGGCATCTATCTGCTTCACCTTTTTTTCCATTTCAGCTTGTGCGTCGTTAAACGCTTTCTGGTTCCATTCATTTAAATTACAAACAACAACAGAGAGTAAAGATAATATTACTTCAGAAAGAACTTTTATAATAAATAAAAATTAACTACAAATTTATTTGATTTTACAATACCGCCATCAGATCTTTGATTTTAGATGAGTTCTCATTTCCACCCTTTAATTTCAGACTAGCTTTGATTTTTGGCCATTTCCATCTCAGGTCTTCATATAATTCTATTATCCTTGGTTTGCTAACTGGATTGTTAAGGTTGATGGCTTTTCCTGTTTTGATTGAAGAAGCAACATCTCCTGCTGCTCTGTGCATCAGAATAACAACAATCATTAAATTTAAGTACCTGAAACATTAGTCAGTCAGTATGTAACCAAAGGTACAAAAACTATTTACATAGGTACTCTACCTGTCATACAATGATCTCAGCTCTTCATCTTTTTTATGTGCCTCAGTCCTATTAACAAAAACACATAATGTAAATTAAATCATACTGTTTTTTGAAAAATTGTCTTATCTTCTGACAGGTATCTGTTCAACTGTAGTATAAACCTTGTTTTG